CTCGATTGGTTTTTTAGACGACCCCCGCTGTCGCGCTAGTTGTGCCGTGCCGGGCTGGCACGCGTGTCGGCCGAGGCAGCCCAGGCACGGCCCACTAAGCCACGTGTCGTGCCGGCCCGTGACGGGCCAGGCACGCGGGCTATCGTGCCGGCCCGACAAGACCGGCCCGTTTGGCCAGGTATGCACCCAGGGCGTGTTTGGTTGCTTTCATTGCTCCCCTCTTAGCCAGGCTGAGCACGGCCCGAATAAGCAAAAATAGGGTCAAAAACATAGATGACTAGTTGATTGGTTGTCTGTATTGGGGTTTTGTCATTAAGATGCAATTTTTACTCGGCATTTGATTGCATACATGTATATGATTATCAGTGTTAACAACAAAACTTAACAGTCATCGGGTTAGGCTTGACATTTCGTCAAACACTCTGAGCATGCCGGAACTTTCACTGCCCATCGTGCCCACCATCAGCTCCCGGTGACCGTGGACGCGCCCGACTCGCTGTCCTGGCCGTGGCTGCGCCCGGCTCGTTGCCGGTGAGGAGGCACATCATGTGCTGGTGCGCGGGCGGGCCATGGAACCACCACTCGAGGTCCGGCGCGAGGAGGGAGTGGACGGTGGCGTGGTCGCGGTTGTTGAGTGCCTTGTAGATGTGGAGCACGAGGAACTTGTTGCGCTGCTCCTCAGTCTCGTGCCCGCGCACGAAGGCGAACCCGCCCTCCAGCTGATCCAGGTTAGCCAGCTCCTCCCGAGGTTTTCGGCCGCTCCTCCTGTCGGAGAATAAGAAGAAGACGGCGATGGCGACGGTTTGATATCGACTACTTGATGCTCGTGGTCCGCTCTACGAGGTGCTGGATCCGCTCCCCTGCTCCCATGGCGGACGGGATCGCACTGGAGTAGAGGGAGAAAGAGGGGATTGAGGATTAGGGAGAGAGAGAGGGATTAACTCGAGACACACGTCTCCAGAGAGCCACCCACGTGCGCCTCGAAGCATCGCCCGGGGTCTGGCTCTGGGGAAACTGCTGATTCGGCCGTTCCCAACGGGCCAGGCCTAGGGGTGCTTTAAGAACCGTGCTATGCGGGCTCAACAGTGTGTGCGATGAACCAAACAACCGAGGTCCAAAAAGATGCTGCATCGTGTGGCCCTGGTTGGGCTCAATGCTGGCAACCAAACTCACCCCGAGAGGTGCAGGCTGAATGGGATTCTCTGACTTTGTAAATATTGCCAAACACGTTGTGGGTGGCTGACGCCAACAAATTCCTATCTTTTCTGAGCGAAAAGCAATTCATAACCTTTTTTGAAGCGAAGACATGCATGTAGTTGTACTTAGGGCTTATTAGGGTATCTCGGCTCTGGCCTGGGCCTTCTTGGGCTTCGGTATTTGCCCCACTTTACAAGCCTCGTATCCTTAAAAAGGGTTACTTTGCGTGATGGTTGTTCCAATGGCAAGTGGCCTCAACCCCACCCGTCAATCTCGGGGGAAAGGGAGGGGCAAATTATCAAAATGAAAAGTAAAGTGTGGGTTAAGATTCAATTTCTTACTTCGATAGTGAGATGTAGTGGACGATCCAATGCTTTCTTCACGGACGGGTGAACAATATGATGGATGCAACTGCGTCTGGTACTTGAATGTTATTTTTTAGGGTGTGGCACACTTTATTTGAATGAAATGGTTACATCACAAAAGCAAGTTAGCTAAGAGAAAAATTCAAGGATCTCCATCCCAATAAATTACATAGTTCGAACCATACTAGTATGCCACTTTGTTCACCTTCCTTGGGCAATGTGCAAAAGATATCGAGCTCACTAAGGGCAATCTTAAAGCACTCAACGAGAACAACAAACTAGGGTTCCAAATCTCTGTTTCCCTGTTGCAAGCTTGTATGATTTCGAGACAATCTGATTCAAATGTGGCCATTGAACGGCCAAGACGATCCAGCATCAGTAATCCATCTCTTGTCGCCATTATCTCCGCAGTCTAGAACATGATCGATTAAGGTGGTTGAACCTGTCGTCGCCTCACCCAGATGATTACAAAGAACATGTGTTTTAGCTCACTGTAACGCCCTCGATGCGGCTATATCTCCCACGTGTCGAAGCACGACTTAGAGGCATAACCGCATTGAAAGCAATGTCGCAAGTGAGGTAATCATCACACAACCCATGTAATACATAAGGGAAAGAGATACATAGTTGGCTTACAATCGCCACTTCACACAATTACATGAATAAAGCATTACATCATCCAAATACAATCAAGGTCCGACTACGGAACCAAAATAAAAGAAGAACCCCAAATGCGACAAGGTCCCCGATCGACCCCAACTGGGCTCCACTACTGATCAACTAGAACGAAACACCACAAAGGACAAGATCTTCAACGAGCTCCTCCTGAGCTTGGTTACGTCAACTGCACGGTCTCATCGGCACCTGCAAGCTGGTTTTTGGAAGTATCTGTGAGCCACAGGGACTCAGCAATCTCGCACCCTCGCGGTCAAGACTATTTAAGCTTATGGGTAAGGTAAAAGGTATGAGGTGGAGCTGCAGCAAGCGACTAGCATATATGGTGGCTAACATACGCAAATGAGAGCGAGACGAGAAGGCAAAGCACGGTCGATAAAAGTATGATCAACAAGTGATCCTAGAACAACCTACGTCAAGCATAACTCCAACACCGTGTTCACTTCCCGGACTCCGCCGGAAAGAGACCATCACAGTTACACACGCAGTTGATTCATTTTAATTAAGTTAAGGTTCAAGTTATCTACAACCGGACATTAACAAATTCCCATCTGCCCATAACCGCGGGCACGGCTTTCGAAAGTTCAAATCCCTGCAGGGGTGTCCCAACTTAGCCCATGACAAGCTCTCACGGTCAACGAAGGAATAGACCTCCTCCGGAGACATTCTGATCAGGCTCGGTATCTCGACTCTACAAGACATCCTCGACAATGGTAAAACAAGTCCAGCAAGACCACCCGCTGTGCCGACAAATCCCAATAGGAGCTGCACATATCTCTTTCTCACGGCACACCGGATAAGCTAAGCGTACAGGAGCCGACGTAACCCAAGTTGCCAAGGGATGGCCCTACACGGTGCTCTGGGTTGGACCAACACTCAGAGGAGCACTGGCCCGGAGGGGTTAAAATAAGATGACCCTTGGGCTGGCCTAACCCAAGGGAAAAAGAGGCTAGGTGGCAAATGGTAAAACCAAGGTTGGGCCTTGCTGGAGGAGTTTTATTCAAAGCGAACTGTCAAGGGGTTCCCATTATAACCCAACCGCGTAAGGAACGCAAAATCCGGGAACATAACACCGATATGACGGAAACTAGGGCGGCAAGAGTGGAACAAAACACCAGGCATAAGACCGAGCCTCCACCCTTTACCAAGTATATAGATGCATTAATTAAATAAGATATATCGTGATGTCCCAACAAAATATCCATGTTCCAATATGGAACAAGCTTCAATCTTCACCTGCAACTAACAACGCTATAAAAGGGGCTGAGCAAAGCGGTAACATAGCCAAACAACGGTTTGCTAGGACAAGGTGGGTTATAGGCTTGGTTTAACAATACGGGAGGCATGATACGCAAGTGGTCGGTATCGCAGCATAGGCATAGCAAAAGAGCGAGCAACTAGCAAGCAAAGATAGAAGTGATTTCGAGGGTATGGTCATCTTGCCTGAAATCCCGCAAGGAAGAAGAACGAGTCCATGAAGAAGACAAACGGATGTAGACGAACGGGTCCTCACAAACATGACGTTACCGGAACCAACCCAAAGAAGCAAACACCGGAAAAGAAGCACACAACATAGTAAACAGCCAATACATGAACATGGTATGATATGCGGGATGCGATGCGGGATGCAAAATGCAAGATATGACAGGCAATGCATGAACCTGGCCTCAATTTGGAAAACCAAGTGTGCAACTGGAAAGATGAGATGAAATCGCTTGAAAACGATATAAAGAACACCGGAATCGGAGTTACGGTTTGAAAATGGCAAGCGATTCAAAAATGACACCGGTCTGCGATTTACAGCAAGTAGGCATCTAAATGCAACGATATGAACATGCTACAGCAACCAAACATGACAACAAAATACATGTCAGGGATGAATTCAAGATGCTTAACAAAAGTCTAGCACTGAGCTACGACCAATTCATCCATTAACAGGTTCAAACAAGCATGGCAAAAATGCATATGGCAAACAGATCTCAGACTTAGTGAAATTAACACTTGTCTGGAATTTCAGATCAGGTAGCCCTCTTCGGAGCAACAAAACTACATGTTACAGGATCTGAACATGGCA